AGAGAGAAACATCAATCAGCTGCCTCCTGCATGCCCCCCAGTGAGGATGTGCCTGCAACCAAGGTACATGCCCTTGACCGGAATTGAACCTGGGACCCTTAAGTCCGCAGGCCGACGCTCTAGCCACTGAGCCAAACCGGTTCGGCTCATTGTGGTTTTAATGTGCATCTTTTCATATGTATGTCCTCTTCCGAGAAATGTCTATTTTAGGTTCTTTGCCCATTTTTAAATTTTATTGTTTTGATGTTGAGTTTTATAAAATCTTTATAAATTTTGTATATTAACGCCTTATCAGATGTATTGGTGAATACATTCACCCATTCAGTGGGTTGTCTTTTCAGTTTGTTGATGGTTTCCTTTGCTGGGCAAAAACATTGATGTAGTCTCATTTGTTATTTTTTCTTTGGTTTCCCTTGCCCTAAGATAGATAGATAGATAGATAGATAGATAGATAGATAGATATGAAATAATGCTAAGAGAATTGTCACAGATTTTACTGCATATGTGTTCTTCTAGGATTTTTATAATTTCGAGTCTTACATTTAAATCTTTAATCCCTTTTGAAGTTTATTCTTGTATATGGTGTCCGACGTGATTTAGTTTCACTTTTTTGCAGGTATCCAATTTTCTCAACACCATTTGTTGAATAGGCTGTCTTTATTCCATTGTATGTTCTTGCCTCCTTTATCAAACATTAATCATAAAGGCATGGGTTTATTTCTGGGCTCTATATTCTGTTTCATTGATCTATATGTCTATTTTTATGCCAGTAACATGGTTTTGATTACCATGGCCTCATAGTACAGTTTACCAGGTAGCGTGATTCCTCCAACTTTGTTCTTTCTCAAGATTTCTGTAGCTATTCTGGGTCTTTTGTGGTTCCATATAAATATTTTGGAATGTTTGTTCTAGTTCTGTGAAATACTCCACTGGTACCTTGATAGGAATTGCATTGCATCTATAGATCCTCTGCCACTTATACTTTTTTTAAAATTTATTTTAAAAATATATTTTATTGATTTTTTGCAGAGAGGAAGGGAGAAGGATAGAGAGTTAGAAACATCGATGAGGGAGAAACATCGATCAGCTACCTCCTGCACACTCCCCACTGGGGATGTGCCCGCAACCAAGGTACATGCCCTTGTCTGGAATCGAACCTGGGGCCCTTCAGTCTGCAGGCCGATGCTCTATCCGTTGAGCCAAAACCGGTTAGGGCTACTTTTAAAAAAATAAAACCCACATATAAGTGGACCCACACAGTTCAAACCATAGTTGTTCAAGGGTCAACTGTATAATTTATAATAGTGTATAGATAATATATTATAATAGCCAGCAAAATAGAAATCTTGTTTGTTTTTGCTTAGTGTACATAAGTTTATTTATAAAATTAAAGTAAAATTTGAATATGGACTGTTTTGTGACATGCTTCTTTCATTTATAAATACACTGTATGCATTTCCCATTTTATTTGTATTTAAAAAAAATATATGTTTTATTGATTTTTTTACAGAGAGGAAGGGAGAGGGATAGAGAGTTACATCGATCAGCTGCCTCCTGCACACCTCCTACTAGGGATGTGCCCGCAACCAAAGTACATGCCCTTGACCGGAATCGAACCTGGGATCTTTCAGTCTGCAGGCCAATGCTCTATCCACTGAGCCAAACCGGTTAGGGCACATTTCCCATTTTAAATGATCATTTTTAAAAATCGCACTGCAGCCTTGTTGGCGTGGCTTAGTGGTTGAACATCGACCTATGAACCAGGAGGGCATGGATTGATTCCCGTTCAGGGCACATGCCTGGGTTGTGGGCTCGATCCCTAGAGTGGAGCATACAGGAGGCAGCCAATCAATGATTTTCTCTCATCAATGATATTTCTATCTCTCTGAAATCAATAAAAATATATTTTAAAAAACCATTAAAAAATAGCACTGCAACAGACATTTTTATTCATTAACCTGAGAAAAGGTCTTATAAGATGAATTCCCAGAATTGAAGCTAATGCAACAAAGCATGTTTTGAGAAGTTTTGAGATACACATTGTCAAACCACCCTTCATAAAGCTCACGTTATCCCTCCCTCCAGCAATGGGCAAGAGTTGCTGTTTCTTTTAATTTTAGCCTTTATCAATTTCATAATCAAAAGTGGCACTTTATTGTGTTTTAATTTGCAACCTTTTGATTGGCAGAGAAGTGGAACACATTTTCATGGATATTGATTTTTTAGTCTTGCTTTTATGAGTTGCCTTTCCACATCCTTTGCTCATTTTTCAATTAGGTAAATGTTTTTCTATTCCTGTTGACTTATTATTGATTGGGATATTAATCCTTCAACTGTTCCAATTTTATGACCTACAAAAGCCAGTGTTGAGTTATACTGAATATTTTCCTTTCTTTGCTACCAAAGTTCAATCACAATTTTAAAAACTGTTAACAAACTTACAAAAATAAAAGTATATTTAACAAAGAACTTACTTCCTTAAACTCTGCTTTTAAAACAGCATGTCCCAATGTAGTTTGCCATTGAAGTTTTCGACCACTGTGCTTTCCGAGATAAAATGTCTTAAATACTTCTTGAAGTTTAATCATCTGTCAAAGGAAAACAATTTAATTATGCTAAACACTATTAATCATTCAATTTACAATTTTTCACAGCTAAATAAAAATATCAGTTCTGTTTTGACAGTTATTTTCTGAATTCTGTTACCTGTGAAAAATGTTCACCACCTAGGACATTGGGGTTTTCCCTCACACAATGGGATAACACTTGAACTACTGTTTTATGTACAAACAGGTTGTATTTTGTAGTCTCCACACCCCACACCCAAGCTTCCGTGGCTGATAGCGCATGTAATGAAGACCATAGCGGCCATCGTCAGCGACACTGTCTAAGGCCCAGGTGTACCTTACCAGGTCTTAGCTCAAGCTCTCACTGACTCCTAACTGCTCTAGGGCCTTGGGATGCCTCATCTCTGAACCATGATCCGTGATAATGGCAAGACCTGGGCATCGAGCTGCTGTGAGGATTAATATAAAACACTCCGGACAATGTGTGCATAGGAAGCGTGACATAAGCTAGCCATTATTTTCATGGAAGATTTCTTACACCTTGCAAACTTTCAGCCAGTTTTTTTATTGCTGATACCTCATTTTAAGCCCCCGAGCTCCCCCCGCTCCTCCTCCAGGTGTCCCCTCCTTTCCCACTTCTGAACGGGTTCCTGTTTATGGACAGACTGTCTTATTCCTCTGATAGTGTTTTTCTAGAATGTTTATGTGCACTACATCGGTTTCTCTAACTTCCTTTTGCTCATTATTTCTTTAGTTCCTTTCACATCTGCTTTACTCTGCATTCAGGATCACCAGTGATCTGTGCTGCCAAAACTAATGGCTCTCCTCAGGCTTCATCTTGTGAGATGATCCCTCTCAACAGCTTCCCATGAAGCAGCCTCCTGATTCCTCCTGGTGTCTATGACACTCATCTCTTGGACAGGAATTCCTGTCTCTATGTCCACACTTTCTGAATCTTCTTTGGTTTGTCTTTCCACCCACTCCACACATGCTGGCATCTCCATGGCCTCCTTCCTCCCCCCAATTTTGCACCACTTTCACATTCTTCCTAAGAGTAAAATTCTTCCATGGCTTGCTAAGGCCCCTTTCCTCTGAAACTTCTGACCTCACTGGCCTCTCCTATGCCTCCCACCCTTGACGCTCTGTAGTCCCATTTTCCATTTCACCGAGCAGTGTCTCATCCTCCCTCAGGCTCTTACACATCTCCTCTACCAGATCTGGGAAGCCACTTTCCTAAAAATACCGACTCATTTTTCAGAACTGCTTCCTCAGAGAAGCCTTCTCCAACCACTCTTAGCGCTGATAGTAGTTACTGCAATTTGTGAATAGCTCCTCTGGACAGAGAGCTGAAGAGGGCAAAACCAGGTCTGGGATTTTCATTGTTCTACACTTTGTATAAAACACTTGCAGATGCTGAGTGAATAATGACCCTCAATTTTGATTGATAGCCTTGCTGGGTACAGTATTCTTGGATTCAGACCTTTCCTTTGCATGACTTTGTATATTTCATTCCATTCCCTTCTTGCCTGATGTGTTTCTGTTGAGAAATCGGTCGCTACTGCTGTTCCAGGCCTGATGTGCCCTTTCAGTGAGTGCCTCTGTTAAAAATGCCTAACAGCCTATCTATTTGGCAAACTCCTCTTCACGCTTCAAATTCAACTATACAGTCATACTTTTTCATTACCCAACTTCGACATCAAATCCCAGGCATGGTATCATTTCATTTCTAAGTATGTTAGTGTATATTCATTTTTAAGTATTTAAGTATAAGGACTCTTTTTAGAAAACATATCTACTAAACCATATAACACCTAAATATTAAGTCAATAATGTGATAAAACTCAATGCATACCTTTCCTAAAAATTATTTCCTTGACATTAATTCCTAATATAATAATCATAATCATAATATAGCAACTAACATTGGGTGCTTATTATATGCTAGTTTATGATTACAGGCTCAAAATGGATCAAAAACCTAAATGTAAGTGTGAAAACTATAAAACTCTTAGAAGAAAACATAGAGGTAAAATTTCATCACCTTGGATTTAGCAATAGTTTTTTTTAGATATGATACCAAAAGTACAAGCAACAATAGAAATAACAGATTAACCGGACTTTATAAAAATTAAAAACTTTTGTGCAAGGACATTATTAAGAAAGTAACAAGACACCTCACAGAACGGGAGAAGATATTTGCAAATCACATACCTGATAAGGGTCTAATATATAGAATATATAAAGAACTCTTACAGTTCAACAACAAAGACAGAAAACACAATTTAAACATGGGTAAAGGGTTTAAATAGACTTCTTCAAAGAAGATCTACAAATGGCTGATAAGTACATGAAAAGATGCTCAACATTAGTTCTTAGGGAAAAGATAATCAAATCAAAATGGAATACCGCTCACACTCACTAAAATGGCTATAATCAAAGAACTGAAAATAACAAATACTGAAGATGTCAAGAAACTGGAACCTTTCTGTGTTGCTGACGGTAATGTAAAATGGTGCGGCTACTGTGGAAAACTGGTAAACAGAATTATCGCATGACCCAGAAATTCCTACTTCTAGGGATATATCTAAAGAACTGACAACATCTATTTAAAAAAAAAATTATACACAGCAGCATTATTCACAGTAGCCGAAAGTGGAAATAAGCCAAGTGTCCATTAATGGATGAATGGATAAACAAAGTGTGGTATATCCAAACAATGGAAAATTACTCAGCCTTAAAAAGGAATGAAGCAGTGACACATACTACAACATAGGTTAGACTTGAAAAAACAGTTAAAGAAGTCAGACATAAAAGACCACATATTACATGATTTCATTTATATAAAATGTCCAGTATAGGCCAATCCATACACAGAGAATGGATTAGTGGTTACCCGGGGCGTAGGGCAGTGTGTGTATGGTAGGGGTGGAATGGGAGTGACTGATTAATGGGTCCAGGGTTTCTATTTGGGATGATGAAAAAGTTCTGAACTAGACAGAGGCGATGGACGTACACTGAACTGTACACTTTAAAATGACAAGTTGCCTGGCTGGCATGGCTCAGTGGTTAAGTGTCGACCTATGAACCAGGAAGTTACTGTTCGATTCCCCGTCAGGGCACATGCCCGAGTTGTGGGCTGGATCCCCAGTTGGGGCATGCAGGAGGCAGCCAATCAACAATTCTCTCTCATCATTGATGTTTCTATTTCTCTCTCCCTCTCCCTTCCTCTCTGAAATCAATAAAATATATTTTTAAAAAATGATAAGTTGTAGGTATATTTTACCACAATTTAAAAAATACAGTATGGTAAGCCTCAAACACCTTTTGCCAGAAAATAAAAAAGCACTCAAATATGCAGGGGTGTTTTGAAAGGACAAGGAGGCAGCTGAAAAGTGCTCCTACCAGCCAAATATGGGACAATTTTGGCATCAAATAAGATTCCATGAATTCATACTCTTAAGGACAGAAAAAAAAAATCGCTGCTCATCAAGGTAAAAATGGATTCAGTCAGGAATCAAGCAGGTGAGAGTCTGATGTGGGAAATAAGAGGTTTACATAGTCTTAAAATATCTCCCCACAAATTACTTAATAATCACAAAAGGAAAAATACCAGCAGTAGAGTGGAGAAACCAGGTAACACCTTAACCAAATGATTATATGGGAGCAAAAGAATAGTGTGTGCCTCTGGACATGATTCTGAGAGGAAATGACACCTCCTATGTGGGATTCTGGTTAAATATGCATGAACTGAATCTAATCAGACAAACAAACAGAGATAATCTAAGAAAACTGGCCTGCGTTTTAAAAACATGTCACTTTTGCTGTAATAAATCTTATCCCGAGTACAACTGTAAAAAACAAAAATAAAACAAGCAAACACATGTAGTGTCATGAAAGAAAAAGAAAGGTTGTTTAGCTGTTACAGATGGAAGGACACAACTAAATGAAATATGGGGTACTGGACTGGATCTGATACCAAGAAAAAATTGCTAAAAGATATAGTTGGGACAACTGACAAAAACAGAACTTGGCTGTGTATTGATTAAAGTATTAATTACTTCAATGTTAACTAGCCGGATTTGACAACATTCTCTGGTTATGTTTTTGGGAAAATCCCACTAAAGTAATGAGGGTAAAGGCCCTGTCCAAGTAGCTCAGTTGGTTAGAGCAGTGGTTTCCAACCACTGGTGGTCTGTGAGGTCGGCGACCACTGGGTTGAGTGCTGTCCCCATATGCCAAGGCCACAGGTTCGAGCCCGGTCAGGCACATACAAGAATCAACCAATAAGAATGCATAAATAAGTGGAACTATAAATTGATCTCTCTCTTCTCACAAAAAAATAAAAATACATCAATAAAGTATTAAGGATAAAATGAATCTACTATCAAATGGATCAGGAGAAAAATGGCACATATATGGAGAGGAACAGAATGATGAAGCATAAAGAGCAATGCTAAAAAAAAAAAATGAGTGAAGGGTACTGGAAATTCTTTGAACTATTCTTGCTAATTTCCTATAAGTCTGAAACATTTCAAAATAAAATAAGAAGTGAATAAACTTGCAGTGCTATGAGAGAGGCACACCCAGGGTGGAGTCTGGGTTGAAGTGGGGTGAGGACTTGAGGGAGTGCTTTCTGGTGAAGGTGACTGGGGAGATAAGTCTTAACAAGCTTCATGTGCTGGGGGTGGTTAAGGGTGTGGAGGTTTTCTGGAGGAGGTTCCATTTAGAGGGCTATACATGGAGGCCTGAGAGGATGAGAGAAGTGGGTGGGTTGGGGCCTACAACTAATTTAGAATAGAGGGAGCATGATATCCATGTGGGCAAGCTTTGCCATAGAAAGGCTTCACCTCTCATAGAAAAACTGATTAAGGTGCTATCCCCATTTCCCACAGGATAAAGAGACTCAGGGAGGGAGGGAGAAGGGTAATGAGAGAAATTTTGGATGTCATCTATGTACATTCAAGAACACATATGCTGAAGGCTGAGAGCTGTGAGGGCTGAGTTCAATGAAAAGGTGTGGAATGGGAAGGGAGCTGAAGGACGATTCTGGACAATGTTAACATTTAGGATATGGGTGGAGAAATAAAAAAAGAAGAAAACAAAAAGGCAAATGACCAGTGGGTGCAGAAACAAACAAACAAAATCAAGAAAAGACAATGTCTTGGAAATGGGAAAAGCAGCTTCAGGAGGGACGATTTCTGACCCAGATTGCCAGCTGCCGTGAGTCTGTACTTCCTTTCGCCCTTTCTGGAAGCGCCTTCAGCTGGAAGAATCTTTAATTCCCAGATTCTACACTGGAACCAGCCCTTTTCCGTAACACGTGGTGCTGTAGTTGATGGTGTTCCTGCCATTTCCACCACTGGATTTTGAATTCCTGAGCCCTGAATTCTCCCTCATATCTACATATCCTCAGAGTACCCAAAGTTGTGGCTGACATATAATAAGCCTTCAGTAGTACCATTCACAAGACTTCTCTCTCCCCTTCTCCCTTCCTCTCTGAAATAAATATATTAAAAACAAAACAAGTGCCTGCATTGATGCCTTCTTGATGGTTAGCCAATGGATATGGGTGAGCTGAAGGAGCTGTGGACAGGGACAAAAACAATCATTTCGATTTTTGCTTGAGTGTATGATTTTAAAAAACCTCACACTAAATAACTTTTGAAAAGTAACATGTCTGTGCATAGTATGGGTGAAACAAAACAGACATCTATAATTGATAGATCCGCCCTTCCCCCTACTGGTGGGCAGAGTATGACGTAACCTGCAGCCAGGAAATACCTGAGTGACTAACCATGTACCTTATATGGACTATACATTGAACCACCAATCAACACCTGCCAAATACCCTATGCCCTTGTTCCTATATGGACCATACATTAAGCCACCAATCAGCGCATGCTGATTACACTAAGCCCCCATTCTTTCCCATTCCTCCCCTCAAAAGGTTTGCTCACCTCTGCACTGGTTGCTGTTCTCCCATTGCAAGACAGCCCGGCAGGTCTTTTTCCCTAATAAAGCCTGTAATCCTGGTTTTTGGCTCCCGACTGGTCTCTCAATAATGTTTTCGAAGTACTAATATATTTAAAACAAAGGATGAGTAGTCTTTAAAACACTTACCTCTGGAGTTAAATGTACTTCCATAGGTGTATATGTTGGCCAGTATCCCATAGTAAGTATATTTACTGTTAGATCTATAGAGCCTGGGTCACTCTGATTCTGCATATACTAAAAGCAAAGAAAATGAAGACAAAATAATTTTAGAATATCATAAAAACCTGTAAAAAGGCAAATGGTATTTTTGCCTTCATAATATTTTTTCTTTTTTGGTTATGTCACCAATATAAGATATCATTAAACTCATTTAAATCTAAGTTTCATTATACATATTTAGGGATTTTTCTTTTTCATTTTGAATTTAGGTTATTTGAATACGTGAGGCATTAACAGAATAATTTTTTTAAGGATGAGAATTTTACCTAATTTATGTAAGTATTTACATACTTTACATAACCATTTCACATAATTTAAAGTGGGATACTTTTTAAAAAGCTGTTTTACTTGAAAAAAAAAAGAACTTGCCTGCTTGAAATGAATCATGATGTCCTTGGAGAGCTCCATGTCCTTGAACATGCCTTCCAGTTTGCTGGTGAAAGCAGCACCACATTCTGGGACACAAGTGAAGGGTGGGTGAAAAACACCAGGAGCAACATGTTGTTAGAGCAATAAATTCCCAGCCCAGAGGTCGGACAGAACCCCAGATTCCACATGCTTACCATGCTTTAGTTTTGACAACATAGATTTTTCAGCATCGACTGAGGCACTTTTTCCCACAAGGAGTCTTTTTGCCAAATCTTTTTTATAAAATGCTTCAAAGACATCTTTACCTATTTATAACCAAATGAAAATAACATTAGACAATTGATATGCAAATGTTCACTTTAACTGCTGAAAAACCCTAAGAAATGTTCATTCTGATGCAAGCAAGCCAGCTCTAATTTCACTGAATCCTAGTGTTAAATTTCCACAAAGAAAATACTTTTTATTTAATCAAATATGAAAGTGGAAATGTTTTAGCCAATTTTTCTCAAGAAAAGATAGGGCCCAAATGCGTATATGTATGTTTTTATTATGTAGCATTTTCTATATACCCAATGTTAATAAGAACAAGAGTATTTCTCACCATGAATAAACCTGAATATTATCATGATTTTGTCAAGGATCCTCTCCAGCTCTTCATCTGTTGCTTCTTTATTACCCGCTCTCAATTTTGAATCAACATGTTTTGCTGTAAAATTAAGAGTTCAAATTATTTGAAAAATAATCATTTGTTATATGTTCTATTTTTTTCTAAATAGAAAAAAATTTTTAATTTCTACAAGTCAAAATTGGACATTAACACCCTGGACCTTTTCCAACATATTATTATATGACATAAAGGCAAATACCTGATGGTCTAAGACAGTGGTCGGCAAACTCAGTCCACAGAGCCAAATATGAACAGTACAACGATTGAAATTTCTTTTGAGAGCCAAATTTTTTAAACAAACTTTATAGGTAGGTACATTGTTATTAACGTAATTAGGGTACTCCTAAGCTGGCCTTTGTTAAAAACGTCCTCAATCTGAGGGGTCGACCTCAATGAACGTACCCCCACTTCTTCTAATGCCACTTCTTCAAAATAGGCTCACCTAGGCCGAAAAACGACTTCTGTGCATGGGCCATGAAGTTTCAATCACACTGTATGTGCGCGCCCACATGTGGTATTTTGTGCAAGAGCCACACTCAAGGGGCCAAAGAGCCGCATGGGGCTTGCGAGCCACGGTTTGCCGACCACTGGTCTAGGACATGTCCTTTCAAATCATGTGAGAATAAATACTTTCGTTACATGCTTCATGACACATTTTGCTTCAGGAACTGGAATGTCCCATCTTCAAGATGTGGTATACGAAATTTGGATAAGACTCTTAAAGGATTTTTTTCAGGGCTTCATGTGATTATATCCATGATGACAATGTCTTATCCCTGAATGCAGGGATTAGAGCAATTCTACTCTGGTTTCCTGTTTGACACAAATCAACCATGACCTGGCTTAAGGAAGGGAAAACCCAAGACTTTAATAAGCCCAGCTCCCAAGAGTTAAACATTTATCTTTAGAGAAACAATAACCCATAAAGTGGCACAAAAGCCAAATTAAATTACCCTGTGAATTTCTATTGTTTTTATTTGTGTTCTTTATATATATATATACATATATATATATATATTTAAAATATTCTGAATATACACAAAAGTCGATAATTGTACAATGAACTCCATGTTCCCATCATAACACCTTCAATAATAATCAACACAAGCCCAATTTTGTATCACTGTATAGATCCTTCTTTACCCTTTGCCACCTGTCAATTTTTAAAAACTTTTACTAACTAGTGAAAGTCTATGAATCCTAAATATATTTTGATGTTATCATGACATAACTGTATAAAGTAGTAATTTAAAAACTTTCATCTTAGAAAACCTAAATAGACCAATTACTAGTAAGGAGACTGAATCAGCAATCAAAAACCTCCCAACAAATAAAAATCCAGGACCAGAAGGCTTCACTGATGAATTCTTCCAAACATTAAAAAGAAAAATTGCCCTAGCTGGTTTGGCTTAGGGGATAGAGCAGTGATGGCGAACCTTTTGAGTTTGGAGTGTCAGCATTTTGAAAAGCCCTAACTTAACTCTGGTGCCGTGTCACATATAGAAATTTTTTGATATTTGCAACCATAGTAAAACAAAGACTTATGTGTTTTATATTTATTTTATATATTTGAATGCCATTTAACAAAGAAAAATCAATCAAAAAAATGAGTTTGCGTGTCACCTCTGACACACGTGTCATAGGTTCGCCATCACTGGGATAGAGCATCAGCCTGTGGACTGAAGGGTCCTGGGTTCGATTCTGGTCAAGGGCACGCGCATCAGCCTGTGGACTGAAGGGTCCTGGGTTCGATTCTGGTCAAGGGCACATGCCCAGGTTGTGGGCTTGATCCCCAGTAGGGGGCATGCTGGAGGCAGCCAATCAATGATTCTCTCTCATCATTGATGTTTCTATCTCTCTCTCTCCCCCTCTCTAAAATCAATAAAAATATATTTTAAAAAATTAATACCTATCCTTCCCAAACTCTTCCAAAAAAACCCCCCAAAAACAGAAGAGGACGGAACAATTTCAAACACATTTGCAAGGCCAGCATTACCTTGATACCAAAGCCAGACAGGGATACCATAAATAAAGACAGTAACAGGCCAATATCCCTGGATGAACATAGATGTAAATTCTCAACAAAATATTAGCAAAACAGATTCAATAATACATTAGAATGATCATAGTCCATGACAAAGTGGTATTTATTCCAGGTATGAAAGGATGGTTCTGTACATCAATCAATGTGATACAGTACATTAACCCAATGAAGGACAAAAATTATATGATCATTTCAATAAATGCAGAAAATCATTTGGTAAAATTTACATCCATCTATATATATACTAGTAAAAGCCTAAATGACCATCCGACAGTTCACTATGATGTGCACTGACCACCAGGGGGAAGACGCTAAACACAGGAGCTGCCAAGCTGTGGTGACTTGGCAGCTGTGGTTCTTGGGTGACGCACCTGGAATCAGAGAGGAGGGAGTCCAATTCTGGGGTGTGTCACCCGAGAACTGCCCTCTTGCAATCCCGGAGCCCTAGGGGGATGTCAGAGAGCTGGTTTTTGCCCAATCCCCACAGGTCAGGCCGAGGGACCCCACCAGTGCACGAATCCATACACTGGGCCTCTAGTTTATGATAAAACTCTCAACAAAGTGGGCATAGAGGGACATGTAAAGCAGTCAGATTTTCCTAAAAGATCAGGAAAGACAAGGATGCCCATCCTCACCACTTTTATTTATTTATTTAGTTAGTTTTCAGAGAAGCAAGCAAAAATGTACTGATCACAGCAAAAATATACTTAGGAGAGTGAAACAAGGAAGGGCATGAGGAATAGGAGAGCCTAGGCTGGGCTACTCTGGCTCACTGGGAAGTCAAAGATTAGAGAGCCTTTGAGACAGGTTCAGGGCGGTTAGCCCCTGCCCACTGCTCCCCTGGCTGCAAGACTTGGGGCCCCTTAGAAGTTAGGGGATATGTGTCTGTGCGGGAAGAGGTGAAAGGGAGTGCTATGGGCGTGCTCACTGGAGGGAGAGAACTCTCAACACTTTTATACAACACTAGAGACCCAATGCACGAAATTCGTGCAAGCGCCTTGGCCCTGGCCCCCGCCGCGGGCCTCTGTTGCCTCTACCTTGGCCCCCATCCCCTACAGCTTTGTCTGGAAGGACACCCAGTCTAATTAGCACATTACGCTTTTATTATTATAGATAATAGTGGAAGTCTTTGCCACAGCAATTAGGCAAGAAGAAGAAATAAAAGGCATCCAAATAGAAAAGAAAGAAAACTCACTATTGGCAAATAAGATACCATGTAAAAACCTACAGATTTCACCAAAAAAAAGAATAAATTAATCCAGTACAGTCACAGGACACAAAATCAATACACAAAAATCTGTGGCTATATTCTAATAATAAACTATCAGAAAGAGAACTTAAGAAAACAACCCTATTTATAATTATATGAAAAACAATACAAAGTATAGAAATAAACTGAACAAGCAGTGAAAGATCTGTACACTAAAACCTATTAGACACTGATAAAAGAAACTGAGAGGACACAATGGAAAGATAGTCTATGCTCATGAATTGGAAGAATTAATACTTTTAAAATGTCAATACTACCCAAAGGAATCTATAGGTTCAGTGTAATCCTTATCAAAATTCCAATGGCATAGTCACAGAACTAGAACAAATAATACTGAAATTAGTATGCAACCACAAAAGATCCCGAATAGCCAAAGCAATCCTGAGGAAGAACAACAAAGGGGGATGTATCATGCTTCCTGGTTTCAAAATATACTACGAACCTACAGTAATCAAAACAATATGGTAGTGGAACAGAAACACACACATAGGACAATGGAGCAGAATTGAGAGCACAGAAATAAACCACATAAAGACAATTTATGACAAAGGAGCCATGAATATACAATACTGGAGAAAGGACAGAATTTTCATTAAGGAATTAAAACACAAGTTACAAACTGGGAAAAATGTTTGCCAACCATATGTCTGATAAAGGAGGACTCATATACAGAGAGTGCATTTATATTTAAAAAAACCTTTCATCTCAAAATATGTTCTTTTGAGATCCCATCCAATTTAATCCTATTTTAATACTAATCAGAGAATGCAAAGATAGTGACTAATAGCATCTCATGTTAAGTATCTCATGTTAAATATTACTTGGAGATTGATAAAGGTATCATCATAATACAGAGGCATCCTATCCAACAAACTTCAATCCAATTTCTGAGCAAAAATTACAAGTAATCAAGTCAGAGGTTCAAGGTTTATTTCTATAAACTATAGATCTGGGACTGTTAGAACAGGAAATGCAGACTAGGCTAAATTTTTGTCCCTTTTTTTCTTTTTCTAACTTATCTTTATTATTGACAATATATAGATGTCCCCTTCCCCATCCCCGTTTACCCACTCCACCCTCTCCAGCCCTTCCCCAGGCCTTCACAGCACTATTGTCTGTCCATGGGTTATGTAAGTTCTTTGTTTAATCTCTTCCTGCCCGACTCATCCTTCCCTCTGAAATACTTCAGTCTGCTCCATGCTTCTATGTCTCTGGATCTATTTTGTTCATCAGTTTATTAAGTTCATTAGATTCCACATATAAGTGGGATCATGTGATACTTGTCTTTCTCTGACTGGCTTATTTCACTTAGCATATTACTCTCCACATCCCTCCATGCTGTCTCAAAGGGTAAGAGATCTTTCTTACAGCTGCATATATTCCATTGTGTAAATGTACCACAGCTTTTTTAACCACTCATCTACTGATGGGCACTTGGGATGTTTCCAGATCTTAGCTATTGTAAATAATGCTGCCATGAACATAAGGTTGCAGATATCTTTCTGATTGGTTTCAGGATTCTTAGGATATATTCCTAGAAGTGGAATTACTGGGTCAAATGGCAGTTCCATTTTTAATTTTTTGAGGGAACTCTACACCGTTTTCCATAGTGGTTGTACCAGTCTACATTCCCACTAACCGTGTACTACAGTTCCTTTTTCCTCCACATCCTTGCCAGCACTTATTATTTGTGGATTTATTGATGGTAGCCATTCTGGCAGGTATAAGGTGGTACCTCATTGTCATTCTCATTTGCATCTCTCTTATAATTAGGGATGTTGAGCATTTTTTCATATGTCGCTTGGACATTTGTATGTCCTCTTTGGAGAAGCATCTATTCAGGTCCTCTCTCCAATATTTTTTTTAAATATATTTTTATTGATTTCAGAGAGGAAGGGAGAGGGAGAGAAAGAGAGAAAGATCAATGATGAGAGAGAATCACTGATTGACTGCCTCCTGCACACACCCTACTGGGGATTGAGCCCACAACCCGGGCATGTGCCTTTGACTGGGATCCTTCACAGGATCATTCAGTCCACAGGCTGACACTACATCTGCGGCTCATGAGCCACATGCGATTCTCTTTGACGCCTTGAGTGTGTTCCACAAAATACCACGTGCGCGCGCGCATGTACAGTGTGATTGAAACTTCGTGGCCCATTTGCAGAAGTTGGTATTTTGTGGAAGAGCCACACTCAAGGGGCCAAAGAGCCGCATGTGGCTCTCGAGCTGCAGTTTGCCGACCACTGGCTAGGGCTCTCCAGTTTTTAATTGGGTTGTTTGTCTTCATGATATTGTACTCAGAGAACTCTAAAGACTCCACCAAAAAAATTACTAGATTAATAAACGAATTCTGCAATGCAGCAGGATACAAAATTAACACCTAGAAATCAATGGCACTTTTATAAATGATCTCTTAGAAAGAGAAAAAAGAAAAAAAATCTATTTAACACTGCAACAAAAAGTTAAGATGCTTAGGAATAAACTTAACCAAGGAGGTAAAAGACCTGTACTCAGAAAACTACAGGATGTTGGAAAAAGAGACAGAAGGTATAAACAAGTGGAAAAATATACCGTGTTCACGGGTTGGTAATTAACCATCATTAAAATGTACATACTACCTAAAGCAACCTATAGATTCAATGCAGTCCCTATTAAAATACCAATGCAAATTTCACAGATCTAGAATAAATACTCCAAAAATTCATACGGAAGCAAAGAGACCCCAAATAGCCACAGCAATCTTGAGAAAGAAGAAAAAAGTTGGAGGGAATCAATACTGGATATCAAACTATACTAAAAGCCACTGTACTCAAAACAGTTTGGTATTGACACAAGAACAGGCAGGCATATAGATCAATGGAAGAGAACAGAGATCCCAGAAATTGACCCAAACTATTATGCTCAATTAATATTTGACAAAGGAGGCAAGATTATACAATGAAGTAAAGACAGTCTCTTCAATAAATGGTGTTGGGAAAATTGGACAGGTACATGCAAAAAAATGAAACTAGATCACCATCTTACACCATATACAAGAATAAGCTCAAAATGGATAAAAGACTTAAATGTAAGTGTGAAACCATAAAAATCCTAGAAAAAAACATAGGCAGCAAAATATCAGACATCTCATGTAGCAGATTTTTCACAGCTACATCCTTATCACAAGAGAACAAAGGAAAAAAATAAACAAATGGAACTACATCAAACTAAAAAGCTTCTGCACAGTAAAAGAAACCAGCATCAAAATGAAAAGATAACCTACTGTATGGGAAAACATATTTGCCAATGATACATCTGGTAAGGGGTTAATTTCCAAAATATATAAAGTACTCATACAACTCAACAAAAGGAAGACAAACAACCCAATGAAATGGGCAGAGGACCTTTTTCTTTGTGAAGACAAACCTCATTTCTTACAGAATTACTACTACATTCTCCCTATGGAAATACCATGTACTGTATACATACAGATATGTAGGTGTGTGTGTGTGTGTGTGTGTGTGTGTGTATAAAATAACACACGAGTATATATGGTTTTTTGAAAATGTGTCCCCTAATACAATTCTTCCCCTAGCATGAGGAGCTTGGGAAAAAAAAGTATTTTTAATTCTCATCTGAGGATTTTAGAGGGAGAGGGAGAGAACATCAATTTGAGGGAAACATCGAATGGTTGCTTCTCAGAGTGAAGCCGCAACCTGGGTATATGCCCTGACCGGGTATCGAACCTGCCACTCTTCAGTGTACCGGGTGATGCTCCAATCAACTGAGCCACACCAGCCAGGGCAGGAGCTTGAATATTCTGAGAAAAAATTTTGCTCGAGTTATGCCTTACTTTCACATATTAAAAAAATGTATAGAAACATGTTTCTCTACCGATCAGTTCTGCAGGCTTATTTGGCCTCTTGTTGATAAACGTTTCAAAGGATTCCTTCATCAAGTTGATGAACTTCTCATTCCTCTGAAAGCATACTTCTATCACATGGTCCACTCTGTCCTTAAAATCCAGCAGGTCCTGGACCATATCTTTATCTTTTTCAGGATTGATAACAATCGTTGTCCCAAAAGTCTACAAAAACAAACACACACCAAGTCATCAACAGGTTTATAATACCACATATTATTTTCTCCTGCTATTAAACAATTATGACAGTGGAAAAATTTCATAAATTCAGTCTGCATTCTAAAAATTAAGTGAATACTTAGTTCCCCCCTTATCTTTGGGGGACATGTTCCAAGATCCAAGTAGATATCTGAAACCATGGAGAGTACTGAACCATATATATTGTGCACGTGTGTGTGTACACACACAGTTTTTTCCTATACATACATACAATTTAAGGCTTCTCTTTGGCATTATCTGATTGCCAGTATCACTACTCTTGCACTTTGGGCCATTATTAAGTAAAATAAGGGTTATCTAAACCCCAAGCACTGTGTACTAAGTGACCAATGGGTGGATAGTATATACTGGGTGGATATGCTGAACAAAGGGATGACTCATATCCCAAGTGGGACAGGCTGAGATTTCACCATGCTACTCAGAATGGCTCACAATTTAATATTTATGAATTGCTTATTTCTGAAATTTTCCATTTAATGTTTTTGGAACACAAGTGACTACAGGTAACTGAAACCACAAAGAATGTTATGATTCTGCTTCTGGAAGAATTGATAAATCCCTGGAACATTTTCTATTGTTTTTTTAAAGAACTTTTTACATATGAATTCCTCAAATAGATATTAATTCCCATCAACACACCCATTTGGACTTCATGGCTATAGTTTTCTTTCTCCTTCACTTCTAACTATAAACAGCATGGTTTTTAGCCTGTATTTTAAATCAAAAATGCTACATTAAAATAAATATTACTAAAATTCTATGTGTGACAATAATAGTTAGCTGTTTGAGGACATAAACTACCAGTTTGAAGACGTGTTGAATATGATTAATCAATGTAATACATATTTTTGAAAAACTAGTCTTGCCTGGGCACAGTGGCTCAGGTGGTTGAGTGTCACCCTGTGCACCGAAAGGCTGCTGGGTCGATTCCTGATCAGGGCACATACCTGACCCCCCAGTTAGGGCACATATAAAAAGCAACCAATTGATGTTTTTCTCTCTCTCTCAGTCTCTCTCTCTCTCTTTCTCTCTCTCTGTCTCTCTCCATATTCTCGGCTGAGGATTAAAAGAAAAAATTAAGAAAGAGAAAAAATGGTCTTAAGTATACACTACACATCATTTATGCAGGTCAAGGCAGACTATTGGCAAAAAGGTAGACATACATTAGCATAAATACCTTCTGGAAAGTAACACTATTAACACTATGACCACCAGGGGTGGGAGGGACTTACTTTTCACTCTACCCTCTGTATTGACTGCATTTAAAAATAATGTACACACACTGCCAAGATCAGCTTTATTTTGATAACGACACACTGTGCTGAATCTAACTTCCTATTTTGTCCTTATCTTATGGACACTCAGGAACGGTGGTCACATCACTGATTTTTTACTACCCAAACTAAAAATTGCAAAGGTTTCCTGTTCCTTGAGGACTACATGTTGGCAAAATCCTAAATCTATATTAATTAGCCTTTCCTTAACATAAAGTTTCATTGCCAATCCAGCTAAAGTCAGTCATGAGTTTTAGCTCAATATCGTTCTATAGAATCTTGAGGTGGTGGTGCGCACGTGTGTACAAGCTTTCAACATGTAAAATAGTAATTAACTCCAGGCCTGATATTCCAAAAAGCAGTATGAAAGCTTTATCTTTTTATCTCATTGAAATATTCCTTGTGATAGAGATTCTCATGCAATAGAAATACGACACTGTCTATTTTCCTCTGATGATAACATCTGGCAAAACAATGGGGCAGCATCACTACTGGGATGTTAGTATTGATACAATCTACCCATCTTATCCAGATTGTCCCAATTTTAACTGAAACTAACTTTTGTATGGATTTAGTTTTTATCACCTGTGCAGATCTGTGTACCCTTCACGACTGTCAAGATACCACAAGGAATCCTTCTGTTGCCTTTTTTATAACCATACATGTATATAACGCATGCTACAGAAACATGAAAGTAATGTTTAAATAATAAATCCTAGATTGCTAGGAAATAAAGTAGCACACACATCAACCTACCAAAATGTGCACTTGTTCTCACTGTGCAAAGAAAGCTATGTTTAAAAAGCAGACTCACAAAAATGACTACTGTAGAATGAAACGTATGTACTTATGCTGATGACAAATAGTCAAACAGCCTCTCAAGTCATGTTTATACCAGGATGCTGTTTATCACTGTTTGTGTTATCTTAAGTTTGCAGTGCCCCAGCCAGAGTGGCTCAGTGGTTGAGTATCAACCCATGAACCACGAGGTCACTGGTTGATTCTCAGTCAGGGCACATGTCCAGGTTGCAGGCTAGATCCCTGGTGGAGGGCATATAGGAGGCAGCCAATCGATGATGTTTCTCTCTCACTGATGTTTCTATCTCTCTATCCCTCTCCCTTCCTCTATCTCTAAAAACCAATAAAAAGATATTTTTTAAAAAGTTTGCACAAGTGATCTGGAAAGAAATGGAAGACTACTATTTACCTGATCACCTGCTATGAAAAAACAAAGGTACCTCCAAACAGTCCAGTTCACTTTGCCCAGGGTATTGCAGTATCCTGAAGATGAGCCACCCACCCCTGGTACAAAGCACAGTTGGTATTACTATCAAGACAGAACCCACACACCTTGATGTACTCGCTCCAGTGCTGAAGCAGGATCTGCTGCCCGCCCTTCACTCGGCTAAACAGCTGGTACATCTGAGTGAGATCAGGCACTCTGTTCTCATCAAGTAAGTGATCAAGTCCTGAGATCACACAGTAAATGTTAGCATATCACATCAGTAAGTCAATGCGAATAATACTTAAACTAAAAATTAGTATGCACCACCAAAAAAGTTAACATGTAATATAAAAAATTAGGGAATATTGCTTATTTCTACACAGGCAAGTTGTTCTGGTGCAATATCTGATAAATCCTATTAAGTGAATCTCATTTTTCTAACCATGCTGGGAGATGTATTCTTTATTTCTTCATGTCACTAAGCAGGGATGGGAAACTTTTTTTCTGTCAAGGGCCATTTGGGTATTTATAACATCATTTGCAGCCCATATAAATTTATCAACTTAAAAATTAGCTTGCTATATTTGGTCAAACATTTAATCAACTCACCCATAATGCCTTGGGAGGGCTAGATCAAAGGATTTCTCGGACCTTATAGGACTTGTGGGCCAGACGTTCCCCACTCTTGCACTAAAGCCTTCTTAATTCACTAAAGTAGCAATAATCTGAAAAATGCTCACACCAACTATTTGACCTGGGAGGTTCGTGATTCCAAATTCCTTCTGATCTAATCCACCAGTCCAAAAGTATATTGTCAAAGAATATGCTATAAATGTAATCTTTTAGATGATTAATTTTATCCATAGATATAATACACTGTGAGAGAAAACCATTTATTACTGATTAAACACAGCATTTTAAAAGTTCTTCTTTCCTGTTTTAGGTATTTAGATTTTATAAAACCACACCACCATCGGAACTTTCACAGATTTCCTAAATATCAGCTTTATGATAACAATGGAGAGTCAGCTAAGTTAGAAAAGTGGCGAGCTAGTCATGTTACTTCACAAAGTCTCAGATTCTTCTATAAATGGGCACAATGTCCACCCACACTGAAGGTGGTTTACACATGCACACAATGCACTGTGGGTTAAAAGTACAGATCCTCACTAAGGGCTCCAATGTTTATTTCTCTAAATTACGTTTCAATCTACTAATGCAATAACTTTATAACTGTACTGAAACACTAATGTCTTCAAGAATTCAAAAATAACAGCTATTTTTTCAATGCCTCTAATTAAATTTAGATTAAGCTCCTATATATAAAATTCATAATTTTCTTGAAACAATGTATGCAAATTTCTACTATTTACTTGAATCCCCTTTTCTCTTATAAAATGAATGACTCATTAAAAAACACACACCTAGTATGAATTCTGAATGCATTTGTATTAGGTAGACCATTAAATTGAGGCCTCATTCATGAGCAAGTATACCAACTTTATAGTTTTCAGTGAGGTATACATAGAAAGACATTCAGACTTACACCCTGCCTCTCAATTTAGGAGCTGTGACTTGAGGCACCATGATCAAGCTGTTGTTAGCCTCAGTTTTCTTACTTGTAAAATTGGGGTAATGATTTCACTGGGTTGTTCAAAGACCAGAAAATATTTATATGAAGTACAATGGATGCTCAACAATGCAATTCTTTCTTCCTCTGGCATTATATTGTGGTTTCACTTGGAAGTCCCACTTTGACTATCTAGCAAAGTAGAATCCAAACCAGAATATATTTGGGTGCTATTTAGGGCCTCCCCAAAGTTAAACTTTAAGGTTTTCAATACCTTGAAACATTCTGTAGTTCCAAAATGACTTTCAAATGGTAACATTAAATACTTAAGAGTTATAAGAAGTAACAATAAGTACTAGAGTATTATAAATAGTTTCACTGTTGCTGCAAAGCATCAACATTTGAATTACTCTTTAACAAAGCTTTAGGATCACAAGGGGCATTTAAAATTAGCAATATAATGTGTTCTATTTTCTGTTTGCTTGTTTTTCCAGGATAATCAGGGTAGAAAAGTGTACTCTGGCTTATGCTGACCACACATCTGGCAGTTTATCTGACTCAGCTGCTTGAAGGGCATGGGAAGAAGTCCATGAAAATCTAACAGCCTGTCCAGTGATGTACATCTACACCTGCAGCAGCATTCCGAGCATCACCTGTATGTCAGGTACAATACAGAGGCACATGGACCATGAGCACTGCACAAGTACCCAGCTGCAAACTACCTGTTGTCTAGAGGAATCTCTAGGAAGCTTTCAGCCTGGACAGTATTTGATTTGACTTCAGCATAAGCTGTAGTTCTACCACATGCCTTTCAATATTTTTCTTAACTAATTTTCTCAAGGGCTAATATGTTCATTATTTTTAATGATTTTTAGAGATTGTCTTATAACAAATGTCCTTACATTGCTACTTATAATGTTTCACTTACTTTCTGAATGCATTAAGGACTATCATTCAATTTAATTGATACAAGAGGTAGGACAATTTACCTTTCTGCAGAATTGCTGTTAAATGTTCTCCTAATAGCTGTTTCTCCACACAAGCAATCAGTGGTTTTCTATAACAGGCAAAAAGAGAATGTTTCAAAAATAAGGTTAAAGGAGAGACTTTGGTTAACTGTAAGCCTGGAGTTTACAGCTTACACAGATACTCTATGGAGCCAATCAGAAACCAAAGGGTCACAGAACAAGCACTGCTCACACGTGGACAGTCACCACTGCTATTAATACAGAGTCTGAAGTATCTCTGAAAACAATTTACTTAAGAACATTAATAGACCAATAGATGCCGGGAGAAGGGGACACCAGCAGTAGGCAAGTGTGCCGTGCCTTACAATAAATGTGGCCCCACACTTGGCTGGCAATCGGTACTCATGCTGTAGTCATTTTTTGAATTTAAGTTTTGCCTTCCATTATGCACATTACTTCTTGGATTGCTGCTGTGATTCTGCCCTCTTCTTCCACCCCAATTACTTCTCCAGGTTGCACAAAACCCTATCTTCTACTGTTACAGCTATGTCTCTCTGTCCCCATGCTATCTGCTTTCTTCCATAACCATTTATCAAAATCCAACCTAAGGAAGAGCTTTCATTTAGTCCAAGTTACCGTATTTGCCGGCGTATAAGACGATTTTTTGGCCCTGAAAAATATGCCTCCAAGTGGGGGGTCGTCTTATACGCCAGGTACACTTCAGATAGACTGCCCATAGTGCTTGTCCCGTGCCATAGTGGCCTCCCGATGCCCGCCCACTTCATTCCACATACCGTTCAGGCATCAGCAGCGCTGCTGGGTGTATGCTCGGCTGTTGTGCGATTTTGCTGTTATGCGATTTTACCACACAGCCGACCATACACCCAGTATGATAGCGCAAAATCGCGAATCGCGATACCATACTGGGTGTATGGTTGGCTGTGTGCGATTTTGCGAGTGTGGTAAATTCGGGTTACCGTATATTTCTTTACATATGCATTGAAGATTCGCGATTTTGCGCTATCATGGTGCCTGTTAGAATGTTGAAGAGCTCGCACTTGCGCACTAGTGAGGTCCCAGGGAGATGCTGATGCAAGGGTGGACCAGACTGCTATAGTGACAGGGCGGGCAAACAGGGAGCAGGGACCAATCAAATCAGGCTTTGTATACAGCCAACAGCCAACCACAATACTGCCCCATTGTACAGTACAGCACAGAAAATGTCGACCAGTCAAACCCCTATCATCCCTATCATGGCACTAAGATGTCGTTGATGAACTTTTAATATCAGATGATGAAGAGGAGTTTGAAGGCTTTTAAGGTGAAACTGTCACGCCAGCAAACTTGCTAGGGACTTGCCCGGCACTTGCTCTCTCCCTCTATTTGTTATCTTACTTCTATCATTGACAGTCCCTCTAGGTTGTGGGCTGCTTGCCTGTGTTCCTGAGAAGCATCTACGGTACCAGTCTATAGAGTGTGTGTTTTTTAGTGAATTACCGGTATGTTTACCGGTAATAAACTTGCACTGTTTTATGTATATGTTTGATTACATACAGCCTTGTGACAGTTTTCCTGCATGTCATAAGCATTTGAATATAAATTAAAATGTTAAAATCGAATCTGATATTGTTTTACCTTTTATTTGGTGTGTGGAAGGTGTGCGGAAGAGGGGGTAGTCTTATACGGCGAGTATATAACAAACTCTGTATTTTGAGTGGAAATGTTAGGGGGTCGTCTTATACGCCCAGTCGTCTTATACGCCGGCAAATACGGTATGTGTCACACAGACCAGAATATTTGAAAATCTGGAAATTCAGCAGGTGTGACTGCCATAATTATAGGGACACAAACAATCATTCTTTCTGGGTTCATTATCCACAGTTCATTTAAAACAAACAAACCAGGGTATCTGTTTTATTCTGAGCTTATTAATTATGGCCATCTTCCCAAACCTTAATTTTATAAGGAACTTTTCAATGTATCATCTTAATTAAACCTCATAGAACCCTAGAAAAAGGCACAGCAGACATTCTGGCTTCCATCCCACAGATGAGAAGACAAGAGTTCAGAGATGGTGTGACCAGCCTAGGGAGTGGTGAAGCTGAGAGCTGAGTTCAGCAAGTCGTCAGCACCTTTTCCAGTCTGCCTCCAGGAAAAGGAACAGTGACCCATGTGAGGGGAAGTGGAGGGCAGAGAGTAAATATGCCATAAAATCCATCCATTTCAAGTGTACAGTTCAACAGTTGTTAATATATTTACAGAGTCATATAACTGTCACTATGATCTAATTTTAGAACATTATCATCATCCTAAAAGAAACTTCATACCCATCAGCACTTCCATTCTCTCCATCCACCCTCCCTGTCTCCTAATTAGAGGCAGACAGCAATTTCTAGATTATCCTATCCTGAACCTTTCCTATAAATGAGATCGTACAACGTGACTTGTCTGGCTCTTTCACTTAGCAAAGTATTTTTATGGTTCATCCATGTTGTAGCTTATGACATGTCATGCTATGTCAAATGCTTATGACATGTGTCAGTACTCCATTCTTTTTTTAATGCTAATATTCCATTATATGTTTACCCATTCATCAGTTAATGTGTTGTTTCCACTTTTTTACTATTATGAATAAAATAATAGTAAAAAACTATTATTTTATAATAATGGCTCAGTGGTTGAACCAGGAGGTCACAGTTCAATTCCTGGTCAGGACAAATGCCTGAGTTGCGGGCTCGATCCCCTGTAGGGGGTGTGCAGGAGGCAGCTTATCAGTGATTCTCATCATTGATGTTTCTCTCTCTCCCTCCCTCTCTGAAATCAATAAAAATATATTAAAAACAAACAAACAAAAAATAATGCTGCATGGACATTTGTGTACAAGTTTTGTATGGATGCGTTTTCATTTCTCTATATATTTAGGAGAACTGGTGTATTGGAGAAACATATGGCAACTATTTAACATTTTGAGGAAATACCAAATTGTTTTCCACAGTGGTTGCCCCATTTTACTTTCCTACCAATTATGAATGAGGGTTCTAATTTCTCCACACCCTCACCTATGCTTTTGACTGCTTGCCTTTTTGTATTACAGACATCCTGGTGGGTATAAGTGGTACTGCATTGTGATACAAAGATATAAATAGTATCTTTGTAGACTTATTCAGTACTATCTGGGAGTATTTTTGCTCTTAGAACATTTTATATTATTTGTGATTACTCAGTACTTGTAAGATAAATTAAGTGCTTTGTTTATATAGTGTCAGATCTTGCCAGTGGTCAAGTCAAGGAAGGATAAAAGTCTTTGTTGAATATCTTGCTACAAACCTTAATAATAAGCAGGTTAATTATTAAAAAACCAGCCAGGAAAAGGTTTCACCTATGATCGAATTGCAAAAACTAAATAAATGAATAGTACTTACTGTGTACTGTGGTCTAAATACGTGATTACTCGGTCTCCTTCTTCCTCTAAACGTTTACTTACATGGTTAAGATATTCTGGAACCTTCCAAACAAAATATTTAAACACATCAGTAACAAAAAGATTCTTGATTTTACTGAAGAAACTGGAATATTGTTTTCTTTACAAATTTTTATTTAAAAGCAGAATATTTCAAGCCAAGTATTAATACAGATTAATGTGGGTGGGGTGGTAAAGTGGGAAGTGTATGCAGGGCAGGTAGGATACACAGAAGTTTCCTTAAACTCAATTGTGGAGATGAAACTTAACCTCTAGAAGCAGGGCTAAGGCAGGACTGCATTGTTGTGCACTGTTCACAGTGCAGTCCTGTGGTTGATGCCATAGGGCCCTCCATGCCTGGGGCCCCACAGACAGGTGAGCAGCAGCACCTGGGGGCTGATGTCATATGTACCCTCCCCCATCACTGAGGCCCCATAAACAGGTAAGCAGAAGCACCTGGGTCAGAGGTTATAGAACCTAATGACACCCCCTGGCCCACATACAGAGTGTCAGCAAAAACTACTCAACAAACTGGTTGTCATTTGTGGACACTAAACAGCATGGTTGCAGAAGATCTCAAAATGCACACCATTTCCAGAGACACAGGGTCTCCCTGCTGTCATATGACAGCACAAGAAAGGCCCACAACACAGGTCTGTGGGGTTCTGATCTAGTGGCAGCAGCCAGGTCTGGTATTTGACGCGAAACTCCCTCTTTAAAACTAGGACGAAGAAACCAATGGCCGGTTTCATCCTGCACAGTAACAAGTAACATTTAGGTGACGGTCCCCAGGGGCTTCCTCCAGGACTGTGCTGTAACACCTGCAAAACTGGCTGTCAAGTTTTTTGGGGTTCATATCACTATGTCTTTCATACGTTTTTTTGGGTAATTTGTTCACGTGTTAGATTTCATATTTAAGATTTACCTCTTGCTTCAACTTGAGTTCCTTTATATACTTCCTTCAGAAGCTATCTTATTGGCTTTTTATTATTATTATTATTATTTGGAAGGAGGGCAAAAATGTTTCTATAGGAAATTAAATCCTTACTATAATAAGAATGAAGCTCATTACTGGGGATTTCAGCTAGATTATAGATTTCAAAAATTTTTCAATAAAATGTTTGCATGTGTAAAAAGACAAACATTTAGAAATTACACTTAGATGCACATCTATAAAAATGAAATAAGGCAATTCAGAAACATTTCGTTGTCTCACCTCTCTTTCTTGCATTAACCTTTGGCCTTCTGCAGCATATAAACAATTAGTTTCTTCCAAAAATTTCAGTTCAAATGAATCTTTATATACCTAAGAAATGAGCAGAGTTATTGAACAATTACAGTAAACAAAACCACCTTTTGAAGTGTTGCTGTACCCCAAATTTTGAGGGTGCAAGGCCACAGTGACCTGCACTAATTCCTTCACTGAAGTGTCTCAGGCCAGCTCAGCTGCCTCCTATGTAGCTGACCCCAGAGGCATAGCTGACTTCTGCTTAGCTGACCTTGGTCAGCTGATTCCTGGCTGGCTGACCTCTACTCAGCTGACGGGGGCAGCCTAGACCACTTTTACTGCTCTCCTCTGAGTGCCACCAGGCCCTTGTCCTTTATCTAGGCAGTACTGGGTCCATGTTGTAAGGGGTCTTTCCTACTCTGGCTCTTGGTGTGGTGTTAGCCCGAGTCATTCTCCTTCTAGTGGTTAAAAAAAAAAAGCCATATTTTCAATAAATACTTCTGTGATTTCATTTTGCACTTAAATCTTTGATATATCCATTTATTTTGGTGTAAGTAGTTAGGCAGGGATCCAATTTTTTTCTTATACACTGAAAAGTTACTCGTAAATTTAGAACAATAAGATGTTTACCTGAAGATCAGAGAGCATACTCAGCAGACTTCTCAATAGGCTTCGGTCAACAGCTTCACCATTTCTTTCTTGTTCAATCAATAGCAGAATTCCATCAATAGTTTTACTCTGAACCATTTTATCACTAATAATATGGTTTCTAAATAGTTCTAATCCCATATCCCTGAACAAACAATAAAAAAGTAAACTATATTTTAGTTTCACTTTATAGAAATTTTACGTGAAGCTCTAGCTACATTATTTCATCCAAAGTCTGTTCATTTGCTAATTCTCTAAATCCAAGTGTCAAGGTTTTTTAATTTTCATTTTGGGCCAGTCTAACTGTGCCTTGTATTTCCTTCTTTATCAAGACTGTTATGTTTTCCTGGAGGGGGTCAGGCAACTGTTACATGAGGAATGTTGAGGCATTACTAGGTCAGGCATGTCATTGAAAGTATCTTGCAAAAACCTGCTATCCTCAGCCCGCAATTCACACTATTCTTCCTGGGCATGATCAGAGATGCTCAAGGCTTTAGGAACCTACCCTGCTCCACTGCCCTAATCAGCCCCTCCATGTCCTTTCCTTTTCCATCTCTGTTCCCTCTACAGAGCTATTCCTCTCTGACACTTCGTTCTCTCCTTTATTTGGCCCTTTCAATGGGAGAACTGACATTAAAATATGACTTTAAGAGTCCATCATACTTCTTCAGCTCACTGCCTGAGGAATTGAGGAGGAAATTTAGCTGTCAGCTACTATCCACAAAAACCATGTGATAACAAAAGGACTCTATGCTTTGCCAAAACACCTCCCCAAGTCCCCTAGGTGCCAAATACAGATGAGGCCAAAGTTCAGATCCCTGAGCCCAGCCAGGTCTCCTGAATGGGCAGCTCAGGGGCAGTGGTGTGGTGGTGGGTAGTACTAACGGTGAGTAGTGGTGGTGGTGGTGGTGACGGTGCTGAGTAGAGAGCAGTGAGCAGTGGTGGTGATGGTGTGGCAGCAGTGGTACTAATGGTGAGTGGTAATAGCAATAAGCACTACATATGCTGGTGGGCGTGCATTCTAGGGAGCCCTGCCTGTGTTGGAGAACCTTCTCCTCCTTCACTGTGTTCCATAATCACAATGGCCTTGTCCTGTTCCCTGGAGGAGCTGCAGATTAGTCTTCCATGAATTTCAAAGTCAGAGCAATAAAGCCCAGTGGGCAGCATGTGGGCTCAAGCCAGTCACATGGGCTTGAATCTACCCTCCCCTCACCAACCCTCCCCCAATGCTTGCTGTGACTCTGAGGCAAGGAACTTAACCTCTCTGGCCTGTCCTTCCTTAACACTAAATGGAGATCACGTGAATTGTTGTACATCTGTGAAATAATTCACACTGGGCCAGGCAGGTACCCAGTGCATAGGAAGTTATCTGTCCGCTAGAATCTTCTTCCTAAAATCTAAATCTCAGTTTAAGGCTTCAGGAACAGCCCACCATCTGCCAGGGTATCTCATCAGCTTCATCTCTCTGATTCTCACACGTTCTGGGCATGCTGTTGTCCTGTCATCAGAGTGGACTTCTTTTCTCTATTGCCTCTTTGGTTAGGTTAGCTACCTAACCACTCCTGCTCCTTCTGCAGACTGGGCCCAGGCGTGCCACTTCTCTTGTCTTTCCCAGTGAGTCCCTCCCACACCTCACCGTGATTCTTGTACTGTACTACCGTGCTCAGTTTTTCTGCCTGTTGCAGTGGGCTGAGTGTGGTATGGTATACTTTACACTATAAGCAACGTTCATATCCTATGTTATAAACTACATTTATAAATTAAGAATTCAGGCTAGGTAACCCGACAACCCAGGTATAGCAAGTTATTTGAACTCTGTGCTTCTGTTTCTCCACATATAACATGGAGACAATAAGATTCATTCTTTATAGAGCTGTTCTAAGGATTAAGTGAATTAGTAGATGTTGAAGCACTTAGAACAGGGCTTTGTACAGAGTAGAAGCTATGCAATTTGCTGTTATCAGTTTTACCATCCTTATCATTTCTCTGAATAAAGGCTATCTTTTCTGTGCAGTGTCTGCCTTATTGCAGACATGCGTGGATATCTAGCATGAGAAATGTAGAAGTCAGAGGAACAAAGGGGGAAAGGAGTATTAAGGAAGGGGAGAGTTTCAATAGTGTCTAAAGCTATACAGATGTCAGGTTATCCTATATAATGAAAGCCTAATATGCAAATTGACCTAATGGAGGAATGACAGGTCGCATGACTCGCACTGACCACCAGGGGGCAGATGCTCAATGCAGGAGCAGCTCCCTGGTGGTCAGTGCGCTCTCACAGGGGGAGCACCACTCAGACAAAGCTGGGCTCATGGCTGGCAAGTGCAGCGGCAGTGGTGGGAGCCACTCCTGCCTTCGCTGTAGGTGGGCAGTAAGGAGCAAGGGGTCATGGACTGCTAGAGCCCAGGACTGTAAGAGGGATGTCCGACTGCTGGCTTAGGCCAGATTTACAGGAGGATAGAGCCTAAGTTGGCAGGTGAACATCCCCCAAGGGGTCCCAGACTGCAAGAGGACACAGGCTGGGCTGAGGGACTCATCCCCCACGCCCCTCCCTCAAGTGCATGAATCTCGTGCACCAGGCTTCTAGTATAAAAGAAAGGGGAAAAAAAAGTGACTACGGGATCTGGTAACCAAGAGATCACTGACGTCTAAGGCAAGAGCAGTTTCCATATGGTGAAAGGAGAAACCACATTGTTTAGGGTTAGGGTGAAAAGATGGTGAGAAGTTGGAAAAGAAAGCAATTTTTTTAAAAGAACTCAGGTTTAACGGTAATGAGAAAGTACATCAATTCTCAATGGGAGAAGGAACTACTGCATCAACAACGGAAGAACCCAAGGATGGGATTAAGGGCAGGCTTTTGTTAATGTCAGTTAGGGCTTCTTGGAGGCAACTCTGGGGAGACTTAGGGCAGGTGGGCAGAGAGGTGAAACACATTAGCAAAGGCTGTGGAAGTCAGTGACTAGGGACAATATTTATACCATCTTTCATCTTTGAAAGATGATGTATGATGAACAGACTGAAATGACAGACCTCAATATCCTGAATAAAACTAGGCCTCAGTGCCCTTGGAGAGTTAGTAAGATGGAGATTTTGGCGTGTGTGTGTGTGTGTGTGGGGGGGCACGGACTCAGGGGCTCAGGGCTCATAACTTCGCCTACAGTTGTAGCCTTTCTCACGGTTTCACCAGACCACTGGAGAGAGCCATGCCAAGTCAAACACCAGCCATCAGAGAGCGTATACCTGAGTTCTTCTCCCTCATAGCAGAGGTGAGATGTGTGTGATCACTGGCTCCAGAGATCCTGAAGTCCACAGCTGTTACAGAAACGTGGCTTCATACAGTACTTCCATGCTTGCCTGATGCCTCTGCTGGGACATTCAGTGCAAGCTGGGGACATGCTAGAATTTGCTCCCCTAACTCGGCCTGCCCCATCTTCACCCTGTCACCTTCACTGGTGATGGAGATGCTCTAGGCCAGTGGTTGGTAAACTCATGAGTCAACAGAGCCAAATATCTACAGTACAACGATTAAAATTTCTTTTGAGAGCCAAATTTTTTAAACTTAAACTATATAGGTAGGTACATTGTTATTAACTTAATTAGGGTACTCCTAAGGCTTAGGAAGAGCCACACTCAAGGGGCCAAAGAGCCGCACGTGGCTCGCGAGCCGCAGTTTGCCGACCACGGCTCTAAGCCTAGATGTGTGCACTAGTGATTTAGGCTGACATAAAGGATCACAGACAGATGACTACATATGCCATCAAATTAACCAGCACAAGACAAGTCAAACGTGTGGTTTCAGACACAGCAGCAGATACAGCTATACTGACTAGAACACTCACCAGATGGAAGGAAGCATGGAATTCTGAAGTACGTAAGTGCGATCCAAAAACAGGAAAATACTTCTGATCATGATCTGGAAATTAGAAAAGAACTTACTTTATTAACGTATCTTACTAACAAAATGTTCAAGATTAGGCCATTTGTACTATCATTATGCTAGGTACCTCAAATCTAATAACTGTTTCTTGATGAAAGATGTTTTCCACCAACACCCTTATGATTTATTCCCCCCCTCTATGTTTGTTTTTCATCTCCTTTATCCAGAAAATCTGATTGCAGGGATTTAAAGCATTTAGCCTAAAGGATACCTTTGAAATTTGGTTATTTCCTAACATGTGATAAATCTCATTAGACTGGGGAGATGCTCTAAGCTTTCTAAATAATTAGTTCTTGTTACATTAGAATGAGGCTCTTGGCCAGTGTATGTATTGGACTGTACTCTGCAAGCAGAGCGAGGAGGATGCAGCCGCTCCCTTTGCCGTGGCAGCATGCATGCTGTAACCCTGTAATTCTCCCATCACGTAACTTACCAGACTATTGTAGAGGTTCACTTACACACGTAAGCAAAACCTTTCCAACAGACTTTTATCAATTTCTACTATCTACCAGGTGCCTGGCCCAGAACAGACACACATTCATTAACCCCTACTTACTTCATTTAGGAAACAAAAGAATTCAACCTACTTAGGAAAGCCATTGATACTATCTTTTCTCTCACTTACATAATAAATAGCCTGGTCACACTAAAAACTCATATACATAAAATCAAATCAGAATCAATACATCTATAAAGTCTAAGATTTTGGATGTTTAGTTATAGTAAAGTTCTGGAATTCAGACTTATCGGTCATAAGCTGGGATTAAGGAAAAACTTATCGACCCATTCAGGAATTATGAGTACTGTGAGCTATCATCTGTCAGGTTGGGCTGAAGGCCAACTTAGCAGCCAGCTCTGTTCTGGAAGAGCAGAGTTCACCTTCTCCGATTTTCTCTCCTCTGTTGTCCAACTATGTTGGAGCTGGAGAGCAGCATTTGACCCCAAAGAGAATCTTGAACAGAACTTCCCTATTTAAGCTCACATTCTGGCCCTTCTACCTTAGTTAGGTGAGGGAAGATGGATGAGACTGGTGCTTTGATGAAAAAAAAGGAAAAAGAAAAAAAGAAACAACAACAACAAAAGATAGCTGGATTAAAAGAGGACACATACTCCCAGCTACTAAAATGTCTAACTAAACCAGAGGCAGACAAAGACCAAAGGGGAAACGACATCTGACATAAAAAGCAGTACTGATGAAGAGTCAGGGAGAGTGCACCATATATAAAACTAGCATTAATAGAAAAGTCAATATGCTTACCATTTGTCTGCAGTGATCTTGCCAGCATGTGTTAATCTTCTTTAAAAACAAAACACTATCTAGTGAGTCTGTGCAGACCTGCTAAGGAAGACTTTAGAAATCTTGGGTAATTTATTGCAACTTTAACTTCAGCTCTCTTCACCACAGAATACTACATACATCAGTTAATAATTAGACTACTACCAGAGCAAAAAGTTCAAAAACCATAAACGCAGTTTTTCTAATTTCCACATCTCATAACTTAGCTGTCATTATCCCTGACTGCACTCCCTCGTTTTTCATTTTTCACCTCCCCTCCTTTCCGGTTTCCCTTCCTGCTGGCAGCACTTTACTGCCTTATTACTTTCAGAGCCCTGCCAGCTGAAGCAAACCACCAGGTCAGAGGCTTCCTGGGCCTGGGCGACGGAACCAAAGGCCCTACCCCACAAAGGGCAGAACATGACCTAATCTGTACCTGAGCTCCTGGAGACCCTGTCCCAGTGGGGAGGAAGCAGGTCTATTATTAATAGCACTGAGGGATTGGCAGCCGCAGGGAAATTGCTGAGGTTTAACTTTAACCTCTAGTCTCAATGAAAACTGACAAGTCACATTCGCACACCAAAGTAGGAACACTCTCAGCTTGACTCCTGGAGTATGTTTTTCAAGAGACACTCAAAATGCTGTTCAAAGAGGGAGGGAACCTGAATGCTGGTCCCTAGAGCAAACCATGGATAAGTGCCTTGAACACGGCCTTCACAGGGTTTTACAAAGACCAAGAGTTATAAATGTCTGCATACTGCTTGATAGTTTACAAAGCACTTTTCATACTTGTGCTCATTTAATATTCTAACAGATGAACAAAAACAGCTTGTTGAAGTGGAAGGACACAGGTTTCCTGGGCATCAGTCCAGCTCTACACTTCTCAGCTCTATGACACTGGACAAATGATGAACTTCCGTAGGCCTTAGTGCCTCCATGTGGAGAACACACTCCTGAGAGCTATTGTGAGGTTACACATAAAATTCTTAGCATGTAGTGAGGAGAAAAAACATACCAGCTAGAGTGTGACATGTAAAATCAGATGGTCGTTGGAAGTCTTCAGCGGGTGAAGGTCTGACAGCAGGAGGGGTACCAGCAGAGGATAGGACACCAGCCAGGACTTTAGGAAGGGGACAGGTGATCTGGAGAGCAGTGGATGGACTGACGGGCATATCTGAATCCTTGTCACACCCATAAGGGTAGCTGACCACAACCACAGTGGTCCTGGCCAAATCTTAATTTCTCTTGAGGCTTTGCCAATACATTAAAAATAGTCAGTCATAGCAAAGACCTAATATGTCAATGGTTAACAAGTCATCCTGGAAGAACTCTGTTTTCAGACTGTCTGAAAACACACACACACACACACACACACACACACATCAGTCACAAGCACATTTAGACAGGTGCCACCATGGAGACCCAGCAGCTCTGGCACCCAGTGCTGGACAGGAGGCACTTGCCCTATGGTCGACACCCTGGCAGGTTTCCACAGGCTGCCAGTCAGACAGTCTGCAAGGCTGCACAGGGATAAACCCACACCAGCCAACCTGACACCAGTGGTTGGCTCAGGTGCTGCAACTAAGCAAGGCACAACTCTATCTGGTGCAGGGTTTCCTTAAGATAGGAAAGTCCAATGTGAGGGGTTCCTTAAACAAAAGATACTTTTCTCTAAAGAGCTGAGTAAAACCAATATACATCTTTAATAACTTTTTGCCATTTCCTGTGGAAAAAGTATGAAATGTAGGCTAATACCACACAGTGAGGCATCTATTGAGCTCCACTCTTCTAAATATCCAAACCAACTCCAGACCTGAAGCTATAACAGTAGCCACAAAGCTGGACATGATTACTCTCAGGATTTAAGACATAACAGGCATGCTGAGGTTTGTCAACAGTTTATTCTTCAGAGAGGTTCTCCAACAGCCATCCTTTTTATCTTTTTTTTTTAATTTATTTTTTGCAGTTCAATATCTTTTTTTTTAATTTATTTTATTTTTTTATTTTTATTGCTTACAGTATTACAAAGGGTATTACATATGTGTGACCCCCCCCCGCCCTTGACAATCCCCTGGCCTCCCCTACCCGCCTTTTTATCTTTTCAGAGAAGAGCCAGTCCTAGTTGAAGAATCAATATGGTCTACTATGGTGAGTTAGGCAAGTCTTCAAATAACAACAAAAAAATCCAGTGGCAAAATGCTCATAATATACCAAGGAAAAAACTATGTATCTGCGATTACAGTGACCTAAAAACAACAAAGATAGTAGTTACACTGGAGAAGAGAAGTGACAAGCCCTATTTTTGCCCACATTTTCTAAACCAGGTATCCAGCTTTTCTAATCCCAGCAAAGAGAGTGACACCTGAATTGTCCTTGCAGCAGGGGACAAAGCAGGAGATAACAATGGTCCCGCATCACAGACCAGCAGTGGTTACTTACCACCCGACACCCCTCACCTAAATTAGGTCCCCTTGTCATCATCGCTAAGAATAACATTATTTTTCATAATAATTACCCAAGTTCACATTCTACAGTATTTAATTCTGCCTCCCTCATTAGTCTACAAAGCCCATGGCAGCAGGAGCTATGTCATGCTCACCTCTGAATCCTAGCACTAATCCGGGGCCACTCACATGCCATGTGGTCTTCGGCCTTCTGGCTTATGAGGGTTACTCCTGTAACTTGGAGTGCTGTGCAAATGTTTGAAGCTTAGTCTGCTGCCCACAAATGCTCCATGCATGCTAACTGCACACCAGTCCAGTGAGTATAAGCTGAAGGTCTTTATATAAAGAAGCTCAAAACCGTCTATCATCAGCACAGATTATAGATAGGTTTAGAGGTAATGGCGCAGCTTCATGATTTCCCTAATAGCAAAGACTTCATTTCCTTATGCATCCTTCTGTTCTGAGAACTACACTGTTTTTGTGTGTGACTGATCACTGATGCTGCATGCTAATTAGCATTTCTGTGACTAAGAAAATCTGTACAGCTGTAAAACTGAATCAGGGGAAGGAAAAAGTGACTTCTGTCTATAGTTATTTACAGATTTAGATTCTAAGGACAGTTTGCTATTTTATTTTATTTACTTATTAATATATTTTTATTGATTTCAGAGAGAAAGGGAGAGAGAAACATCAATGATGATTGAGAATCATTGATCTGCTGCCTCCTGCATGCCCCCTACTGGGGATTGAGCCCACAACCTGGGCATGTGCTCCTGACCGGAATCGAACCCGGGACCCTTCAGTCCATAGGCCAATACTCTATTCACTGACCCAAACCAGCTAGGGCTAGTTTGCTATTTTAGAACTCCTCATGAATCAAGTGTAGGTACACAGCATGTACTCCTTTCTATACTGTGTGATGCTTGCTTCAGCCGAGGCTGCTTATGGCTGAGGTGTGCATGTGTAGGGAGTTTCCTTTATGTTGGGGAAAGGCATATCACCAACAGCAGGTAACTTATTTTGAAAGGGACAGGTAAGTGCAGAATTAATCAAACATATTAACAAAGGAATGGATATGGTAACCTAGGAGAATAACAGCAGATGACTTAATTCCACAGGCATCCTGTGTACCTGATCTGTTTAACCTCTGAAGGGCTTCCTGAAGTCTCCCTGAATTTTTATGCTGGCCTAAACAGCAGCATGCAATCAATATACAGTAGGTAGCAATCCTTGAATCTTAGAAAGTAGAGTTACATGAAACACTGGAATATCCCAGAGCAAGAGACATCTGGATATGCTTAACTTAGAACATTCCTGGCCCAGTGAGAATCTGGGCATTTGCAACAGCACTAATACTTGGCCACTGTTAAGACAAGGAGAGGTTATATATCTTTCAGCAAGAACAAAACTCTGAAGGCAGGACTGTGTCGCTCATCATCTACCTCTATCCCTAATGCACCATGCCATATTCTTGCCTGCACAGGCAGGTTGGCTGTTCTTTCTTTACATCCCAATAGCTTTTAAAACCCTCACTACATTCCTTTGTAAATGAGTATCTTTCTGATTCTGTCAATCCCATTGGAGTTTAAGTTCTGAAGGGCCAAAATCACATTTCATTCATGTTTACTTTTCTCAGGACCTAACATTACCTAACATTATGTGGTAAATATTTAATAAATGTGTACTATCTCTGGTCTGTCAATCTACTTCATCATTCTGTCAAAATGATTTTCCTAAAACACAATCTAAATACATTGGGTTCTTGCTTTAATAACCTGTAAGGATTCTCAGATGCTCATAGATTTAAGTTCAAATCCTTAATGGTGTACACAGATTCAAATCAAGTTGCAACTTAGCATTACAGCCTCAAACTTCACCAATTCTTCCAGGTTATAATCACACCACACTCCTCCAGGTTTTCATGAAAACCCTTTCATAATCTGCTTTCTGATGCCTCTTCACTCTCTAGCTGGCTAGAACCTACTCATCCTTTAAGATACAATTCAAGTGTTACTTCCTCTTGGAAGCTGTGCCCCAAATGCTTCATGTGTTATAGTTCCTGTACTTGACTCTAACCATTCAACATTTTGAATTCCGATGCCTCACATTAAGGCACACATTTCATCTATAGTATGTCTCTTTTTCCTTTCTTCTTTTATGAAATGGTAATTCTTATAATCATGGCTTTGTACAGCATCTAGGAAATATGGTAATTCCCTTGCACCTATCACAATGTTGTTACTTCTTGGAGGTTAGAAATTAGATATGGCAATCATTTTTCTAATTTCTAGTAGATAGGAAATGCTTGTTGAATGAGTGAGTTAATGAACACATTCATGGTATCCATAGGATAGGATTAACTGGCAGGATAATTTGATCAGGTAATAAAAAAGCAGTCTTCAAGTAATCTGGGACAACTGGATTAGGACAAAGTTACATCAGCTCATTCTTTCGAGTTCCTGTCTTGGAGAGAAGGCTTGGGAATATGCTGATGACTTCCAGCAAGCCTGGGAGTCAGGCTAATTTTCAGATGCCAACATCCTGAACATGGATTCCTGGACCCAGTCCCCAGGATTCCAGAACTATGGCACCAAGGCGCTGAGTGTATCTTCAGCGGGTCCCACCTGAGACATGGTACACACTGGCCAGATTCCAAAAGGCCTAAAGTGTTGTCACTATTAGGACAGAGCTCTGCCAGCTAATATGGTAGAGGTATACTTACAGATGTCAATATAATAGAACAAGAATTGACATCACTGACCCATTTATAAGGGAGAACTACAAATATTATCCTAAACTGAGACATCTCACTGTGGACCTGGACTTCATCATCATGATTAATAAAGAGCCCCAATGCCAGACAACAGAACTGCTGAAAACTGCCAAGGGAGATTTCAATGAGCTCTAAATGCTTCAGTTTCTCAATGGAAGGGAAAAAAATTCTTTCAGCTGAAAAAAACATCTAGAAACAAGTACACTCCAATTATCTAATTTCACAAACGAAGAACAGAGGCCCAGAAAAGTGCAGTCACAAGTAGATTGTCTTCAATTATAAGTCCACTTTCTGATACGTGGTTGGCTATAGTAATGGAAGGGAGCTGGGGAACTAGATGGAGGCCAGATAGTAAGCAACTGTCTACAAAATGCTAAGGAGCTCCGAGTTTCCCTGGCAGTCATATAGACACAGATGGCAAAATTAGTGGCAAAATTCTACCTTGCCCCTGCCTATAACTTCCTCCCCTTGATTGTGGATCACCCAGAAGAAGCAAATAACCATGTTGTCAGAGAGGTGACCTCGTGACAAGAAATCAAGGGTGGCCACAGGGCACTGAGAGGGGGCTCGGTTCTGTAACTGAGTGAATTCTGTCAACATCTGTGAGTCTGGAAGAGGAGCTGACCACCGGACCAGAGACACCTTGATTTCAGCCTGAGACCCTGAGCAGAAAACCCACTGAGCTAAGCCACTATTCTTGATTATACTTTATGAGCTGGCAAATGGGTGTTGGTTTACATAGCCAAGTTTGTGGTAATTTGTTACATATCATAGAAAACTAACACAGATGGGTTTTTATAAGAATAAAGGATAGCAGAACTCAGACTTTAAGACATTTTTTAGAACTTTTCCTAAATACTTAACCAGATCCTATGAAAGGACACTGTTTTGCTTTGACCAGATTAACAAAATGATATAAATTCTACTTAAAGAAAATCTACTATATTGGGTCATATGAAGCAAATTTAAGGTTTCTGTTCTGTAAATAAAAGGGAATTTAAAAAGCCATTTAAAAAATATTAAGGATACCCACTAGTTCTTTATCCTATTAATTAATGTTCAGTTTCAAAATATTTAGGTAACGAATAGAAACTTCATGAGACAACAAAAGGATATTCTCTAAACTGAAGAATTTGTGCTTGGACATGATCTTCACAGACCTGGCGGAGCTGCTTGTAAAGCGTTGGGGAAACTTTATGAGAACAGAGGTTTTCAACAGCCTAAAAACAAAAGGAATAAATGAATTATTCACTATGAATAACAAGTGAGTTCTTTCTTAAAAACAACCCTATTTGTATATATAGCTATAATCATAAGAGAAGCACTTACATAATTATATGTAGCTGTGATCATTTACATGAAGCCTCCTCCCCCATATTTATGTAATCTACAAATAAACTATTAGGTTTTAGGGAAATTACTGATGGAACACTGGAACCCAGTATGAGTTTGGTAAAAAAGATACTTCACAATAGTTAATATTGAATACAGATTCAACAGCAACCCTATGACAGCCCCATGACACCTAGGATCCCAGTTGGTGTACCTGTATCCTATTTGAGCATCTCACAATGTTTCTAGATGTTTTAATTCATTAGTCTGAGGCTGGAGCCACAGGAATGTGTGAATTTATTGGATGATATGAAATGAGAGTATGAAATCATTGCTCCAGACTCTCAGTGAGCACCTTCCAGGAAGGTGTGGTGTATTACGAGCTTCTAAAACCAGGTGAAACCATTAATACTGATCGCTACTGACAACACATAATCAATTTGGACCACGCTTTGATTGCGGAACGACCAGAATGGCAG